TTGGGAACAAAAGACCTCCAATCCGCCGAGGAGTGAGGAACTTCTTACCGAGAGGCATGGTGAAAATGGACTAACAACATGGCGTTCCCACAATGCACCGCTGGGTCCCAGATTTTTTTCACAGGGTGCACACCTACCACTGAGACCCATTCTCTCTCATGTAGGCCTACCAGGCCTTTCCCACTTGATTTGAAGCCGCTAGAATTTGTGCGTATAAATACGTCAGAAACATTGGCTCGTAAGACGTACAGTGGACCCCCGGTTAACGAACTTTTTTCATTCCAGTAGTATGTTCAGGTGCCAGTACTGACCGAATTTTTTCCCATAAGGAATATTGTGAAGTAGATTAGTCCATTTCAGACCCCCAAACATACACGTACAAACGCACTTACATAAATACACTTACATAATTGGTCGCATTTGGAGGTGATCGTTAAGCGGGGGTCCACTGTATTTATACGTCGGAAACAGTCAAAGGGTTAATATAGGAAGAGAGGTGAGTAGTATTTATTTGTAGGAAGTCAGTGTAGGTAGCCCGGAGGTGTAGCCCGCCTGGGCTACACCTACCGGCTACCTACACTGTGGCCCAGGCCATATTTTTTAACATGGGACATACTGTGTTCATTGAATTTAATAATTTCTAACAACTACCTTTAGATGCCATCATAAACGAAGGTAGAATTAATGAATAATTCATGCCAAAAATTGTAAACAAAAGTGGAGTGAGGGAGTGGCTGAGCCAAACGCAGATTCATACACGTTTTCTCTGATGGCTGAGCAGAGAAAATGTTATGTTGTCCGTCCACCTGGCTACCAAACAGCTCCACAAGTATTATTATCAGAGCACACATAAAATATGCAATAAATGCCAGACAACAAGTTTACACTAACTTATACACCTACCATCCGACTTACGACCGAGTTCGGTTCCGAGAAACCGGTCCTAAGTCGAAATGGTCGTAAGTCGAACTTTACTATTGAATATCAACAAAACATTTTTGTGATGACTTTATTTTATTGTTTTATTTTGGTATTTCATGTTTTACTTTACTTTTTATGCTGTTAGTACTGTATTTTATACTGTAAGGTTTAGGATAAACACTGTGTACAACACAAATAGTTGTTTATTTCCCAGAAATTTGGCATAAAAAACACGGTCGTAAGTCGAGTGGTCGTAAGTCGAGCAGGTCGTAAGTCGGATGGTAGGTGTATTAAGTTAGCAATAGAAGGTAAGATACACACAGAGTACACTTATTACTTACCTTAAAATATTAACCCTTTGACTGTTTTCGACGTATAAATACGTCTTACGAGCCACTGTTTCTGACGTATATATACTCAAAAATTCTAGCGGCTTCAAATCAAGTGGGAGAAAGCTGGTAGGCCCACATGTGAGAGAATGGGTCTGTGTGGTCAGTGTGCACCACATAAAAAAATCCTGGCAGCACACATTGCGTAATGAGAAAAAAAAACTCTGATCGTTTTTTGGAATAAAACGCCGACTTTGAGGTGTATTTTCGTATAGTATTTATCATTGTATTCGCGTTTTCATGGTCTTAGGTGATAAAATGGAAAACATATTACAGAAATAGAGATGATTTTCATTACTTTTACGATGAAAAACGACCTTGAAACTAAGCTCAAAGTAGCGAAAATGTTCGTTTTTACCAATGTTGAAGAGTAAATAAATCACACCACACGTCCAATACACGTCAACTAGGGAGTCTAATATTCTTTCACTAGTGCACTGATATTATTTATACCATTTTTACAATAAAAGCAGTCGTCTGCATAACAGAAATTTTGTATTTTTTTGTATGAAAAAAAATCAAAATAGAAAGCAATAATAATATAAGAGGGGCCTAGAGATGTGACTAATGAACAGAGCATATGTTATTTTAGTGCCCCCACGAATGTCTACCTTGTTTTATTCTGGACCCTATTTTGAAATTGGCATCTTTTTTTTTTTTGCGTTTAAAATTGGCCAAATTGCCAATTTCTGACCACCATATTGGGTAGTCCAAATTAGTAAATGGGAGGTTTCTTGTACTCAGCTGATAGATAAAATGGAGTTCTAAAGAAATAGCTATGAGTTTGGTCAACTGGAACAATGGAATTGGCTGAAAATTGGGCTCAAAGTCGGCGAAATCGCCGATACGCATATGTCGCCGAGACCGCTAACTTCGCGGGACCATAATTCCACGAGTTTTCGACCAAATTTCGAACTTTTGGTGTCATTACCATCGGGAAAAGATTCTCTATCATTTCATAAGAAAAAATAATTTTTTTTTTTCAAAAATTGAGCGACATAGAATGACAGTTTCAGAGAGGGGCCTGAAACAGTCAAAGGGTTAATATTAATGTGTGAGAGGTGAGTGGCAGGGTGTTTATTGAATAAAATCAGAATGGCACACCATCATCCTCTAACTTGGCACTTAAAGCAAGAGGCTTACGACTACTCTTTTTATCACAGCTAACCTTAGACGCCATCATCAATGAGAGCCAACTACTTAACGAAAGAGTAAACGGGAGAGAGAACGAGATAGAGAGTTGAGACAATGTAAGAACACAAACTGAACAGGTAGTGGGCGATCACTTGGTCAGGCGAAATAAATACGTATTAATATGTGTCTACTTTTAGTTCATTCATGTACATTTGTAAAACATTTACCTCAATATTTTTTATTACAATAATAATTACCTCACAATACAAATACTCTTACATTGTGTACAAGTTGTACAAGTTCAGAATAAACAAACAGCAACACACCATTTTTAGAATGAATGAAGACAATAATAATAATAATAATAATAATATCATTATTATTAATAATAATAATAATATCATTATTATTAATAATAATAATAATATTATTATTATTATTATAATAAAAAGCACTAAACCCACAAGGGTTGTGAATTGCTATATATAAAGGCATACGAAAAGAATATTTTTCTACAGTTACCCCCCCAGTGTTTGACTAGAGAAAATGTAATTCTTCCGACACTACCTACACAGCTGCTTTGTAAACAAATCTCATATTTACATCAATTTTTATTCTGTGAGTGTATGTATCATGTTTATATGCTATGTAATGGGTTTCATATATAATTTTGAGGAAAATATCATAGATGGATTAATGAAAATGCCTATATTGATGTAAAATAAGACATTTAGTGTGCCCAAGAGTGATTATTATTACGTAGTATTGGGGCGTCATGAGTAGAGAGAGACTTAGCGATTTTAATGTGTACCTGCACACCAGCACAGTGTGTAAGTATATTTAGGTACAGGTACACATAAGTATAATTATCAGAGTACGTATAAAATATGCAGTAACTTTAAAACACTTGAAATTTTGGAAAGTTTCCTGACATAATAGATGTGGTCACGGAAAATGTAAACAAACCGGGTGGGGGGCGCCATATTTGAAAGACCGCTTGCTGTATAGCAAATTTTGGTCATAATTTGACATCGCCGTATTAGCGGAATGCCGTAAGGCGAAACGCCATAAAGCGGGGCCTTACTGTACCTGCTGCTTTAGTATCGTGGATATTGTAGAATCAATGAATCACTGCAGAAGGCACATTCTCCCCTCTCTCTTCCTCCTCCACTTTGGTACTTTACTATGAGTTTTTTCTTGAATTTTATTGTGTTTCTTTCCTTCTTTACCACAGGGCTGGCACTAGAGACTTTCTTTGGCCCATGGTGGCTTATTTAGCAGTTACAAGCACTAAAAACACTGGAATAATACAAAATAGATAGCAGGTACACTTGGAATCAACCGAAACAACTTATAAACACTGGCACACTGGCTGTACATGGAGTCTTGGAGTGGCTGGGCCTGCTCAGGCCGGGCTCTGGCCCCATGGACAAGTTTGGGACGAATGTCATTAGATGAGCTTTTCCCGTTGGCAGAGCCATTTTTGTATGCCAAGGAGTGCCGTTAGACGAATTTGCCATTACTTGATGCCGCCGTTAGTTGAGGGTCCACTGTATATTGTTTATTATGTTATATTAGATGAATTGTGATAGATAAATAAGCTGTAGAGTTAATATTAGCATCATATTGAAGTATTTTTGTCCTGCCTCCTGAAGGTAGGAATTCCGCTGGAATGGATTAATGGTATTTCAATTAATTTAAATGAGGAAAACTGAGTCAGCATACGAGCAGATCGGGATACGAGCAAAGTCACAGAATGGATTAAACTCGTAAGCTTAGGCTTCACTGTACCTTGAAATTGAGCTCAAAGTAGCATAAATATAAGATTTTACCAATGTTCAAGAATAAACAAATCATGTCACACATCCAATACACATCAACTGGTGGGTCTAATATGCTTTCACAAATGTACCGATATTATTTATACCATTTTTACAATAATGCAGTAGTGTGCATAAAAGTAAATCTTCTATTTTTTGTGTAAATAAGTGAATAAAAATTAAAAATGGAAAGCAAGCGTAATATAAGAGAGGCCTGGAGATGTGACTAATGAACAGAGAAAATGTTATATTAGTGCTAGGAATGTTTGCATTGTTAATTCTGGACCCTGTTTTGAAATTGGCCTTCCTTGAATTTGTATGAAACTGGCCAAATTACCAAATTCTGGTCACTTTATTGGGTAGTTGAAATAGGTAAATGGGTGGTTTCTTGTACTCAGTTGACAGAACAAAAGGAGTTCTAGTGAAATAGCTACGAGTTTGGTCGACTGGAACAATGGAATTGGCCAAAGATAGGGCTCAAAGTGAGCGAAATCGCTGATGCACAAATATTGGTGAGATATTTACACATCAGCATAATTCCATAAGTTTTCCATGAAATTTTGTACTTTTGGTTTCATTACCATCGGAAAAAGATTCTCTATCATTTCATAAGAAAAATATTTTTTTTTTTTTTATAAATTCTTTGACACTGAGAGCAAGTTTGCAAGCAGGGGTCTTGACAGTGAAAGGGTTAAAAGTAAACACAGGAAAGAACAAGGTGATGAGAGTAACAGACTATATAGGCAATGAAAGACTGGATATTAGATTGGAGCAAGTATAGAGGAAGTAAATGCTGTATTCAGATATTTAGGAGTGAACTTGTTGCCAGATGGGTCTATGGAAGATGAGGTGAGCCACAGAATAGATAAGGGGAAAAAAAAGGTGGGTGATGTATCAAGGCATCTGCAGAGACAAAGAACTACCTATGGAGGCACAAAGAAAGAGAAATAATGGTACCAACACTGTTATATGGGAATGAGGCATGGGCCTGAAATGTTGGAGTGAGGTGGATGTGGATGAGGCTGGAGGCAATGGAGCTTTCAAGTTTGAGGAAATGAAGTGTTGTGAGTGTTGTGCAGAGAATTCGGAACATAAAAATTAGATGGTATGGGGTTACCAAAGGTGCAATTCAGAGTACTAAGGAATGATTGTTGAGGTGGTCTAAGCATGCAGAGAGGACGAAACAAACAGGATGACCAAAAGGGTGTATAAATTGATGGTTGAAGGAAGGAAAGACTGGAGTCAAGAAGGAATGGATTTAGGAGATAAAGGAGGTTTGAGTGCTAGGCATTTGAGCATCATGCCAACTTGCTTGACTATTTTAGATCAGAGTGAGTTTATATGGGCCTGATATGCTTTTGAAGTGTGAGCAGGGAAATATTTTTAAAGGAATTCAGTAAAACTGGTTAGCCAGACTTGAGTCCTGGAAGTGGTAAGTACAGTGTTTGCACTGTCAATTAAAATTACAGGTGAAGTCTAATGTATTAAAAGCAAAACATGCATGAAAAGTATATTTTGGATAGGCAAGGCCTTTATGATTTATTCCCTAAATTCTACTGGTGTCTGGAGAGTAATGCTCATCAGGATGCATTATAAAAATCTAAAGAAATAAGGTTGTTAGGAGTTTTTTAAAACTTATCCACAATTTTTTTTACTTTGCCAGTGAGTATATAATGTGGTTACAGCATATACAGTTGATTACAGTACAGTCAATTAAAATGAACTACCATATACCTCAGTTAGCTCTTGCTCTGCCAAGACCTCGAAGTGTGATGACACAGGTAAATCTGCATTAGAGACCATAACAGTTTCACTCAACTGTCTTACTCCAACTTCTTTGGGCAAATGTTTATGTCTTAATGGCTCTTCAAATTTTCCTGTACCCACTCTTTTACAAGACTCGCTCCTCGGCTTCAAGGATTTATCAGTTACTGCTAAATCTGTAGAGTAAAAGGTTTCTAATTAGCATCCTTTTCAGGTAATATATGTTGCATCCCCTGATTGGGACCCAGTGTATATAATGTATATGTACAGTGGACCCTTGACCAATGATGGCATCGACTAACGATAAAATCGGGCAACGATGCATTTTTGCGTAAAAATATTACAAGCCAGGGCGGACGGTATTCCATTGTTTTTAGTGGGAGGTCTGAATGTGCGTGGATGTTGTGCAAATGATAAGAAAGAGATGATTGTGGATGTTATGAATGAGAAGAAGCTGGATGTCCTGGCTTTAAGTGAAACAAAGCTGAAGGGGGGGGGGGGGAAGTTTCAATGGAGAGGAATAAATGGGATTAGGTCAGGGGTTTCAAATAAAGTTAGGGCTAAAGAAGGAGTAGCAATAATGTTAAAGGATAAGCTATGGCAGGAAAAGAGGGACTATAAATGTATTAATTCAAGGATTATGTGGAGTAAAATAAAGATTGGATGTGAAAAGTGGGTTACATAAAGCGTGTATGCACCTGGAGAAGAGAGAAGTGTAGAGGAGAGAGAGAGATTTTGGGAAATGTTGAGTGAATGTGTGGGGAGTTTTGAATCAAGTGTGAGAGTACGTAATGGTGGTTGGGGATTTCAATGCTAAAGTGGGTAAAACTGTTATGGAGGGAGTAGTAGGTAAATTTGGGGTGCCAGGGGTAAATGTAAATGGGGAGCCTTTAATTGAGCTATGTGTAGAAAGAGATTTGGTAATAAGTAATACATATTTTATGAAAAAAGAGGATAAATAAATATACAAGGTATGATGTAGCACGTAATGAAAGTAGTTTGTTAGATTATGTATTGGTGGATAAAAGGTTGATGGGTAGCCTCCAGGATGTACATGTTTATAGAGGGGCAACTGATATATCGGATCATTATTTAGTTGTAGCTACAGTTAGAGTAAGAGGTGGATGGGAAAAGAGGAAGGTGGCAACAACAAGTAAGAGGGAGGTGAAAGTGTATAAACTAAGGGAGGGGGAAGTTAGGGTGAGATATAAGCGACTATTGGCAGAAAGGTGGGCTAGTGCAAAGATGAGTAGTAAGGGGGTTGAAGTGGGTTGGAATAGTTTTAAAAATGCAGTATTAGAATGTGGGGCAGAAGTTTGTGGTTATAGGAGGGTGGGGCAGGAGGAAAGAGGAGTGATTGGTGGAATGATGAAGTAAAGGGTGTGATAAAAGAGAAAAAGTTAGCTTATGAGAGGTTTTTACAAAGCAGAAGTGTTATAGAAGAGCAGAGTATATGGAGAAGTAAAAGAAAGGTGAAGAGAGTGGTGAGAGAGTGCAAAAGGAGAGCAGATGATAGAGTGGGAGAGGCACTGTCAAGAAATTTTAATGAAAATAAGAAAAAATTTTGGAGTGAGTTAAACAAGTTAAGAAAGCCTAGGGAAAGTATGGATTTGTCAGTTAAAAACGAGTAGGGGAGTTAGTAGATGGGGAGAGGAAGGTATTAGTAGATGGCGAGAATATTTTGAGGAACTTTTAAATGTTAAGGAAGAAAGGGAGGCGGTAATTTCATGCACTGGCCAGGGAGGTATACCATCTTTTAGGAAAGAAGAAGAGCAGAATGTAAGTGTGGGGGAGGTACGTGAGGCATTACGTAGAATGAAAGGGGGTAAAGCAGCTGGAACTGATGGGATCATGACAGAAATGTTAAAGGCAGGTGGGGATATAGTGTTCGAGTGGTTGGTACTTCTGTTTAATAAATGTATGAAAGAGGGGAAGGTACCTAGGAATTGGTGGAGAGCATGTATAGTCCCTTTATATAAAGGGAGAGGGGACAAAAGAGATTGTAAAAATTATAGAGGAATAAGTTTACTGAGTATACCAGGAAAAGTGTACGGTAGGGTTATAATTGAAAGAATTAGAGGTAAGACAGAATGTAGGATTGCGGATGAGCAAGGAGGTTTCAGAGTTGGTAGGTGATGTGTAGATCAAGTGTTTACATTGAAGCATATATGTGAACAGTATTTAGATAAAGGTAGGGAAGTTTTTATTGCATTTATGGTTTTTAGAAAAGGCATGTGATAGAGTGGATAGAGGAGCAATGTGGCAGATGTTGCAAGTATATGGAATAGGTGGTAAGTTACAAATGCTGTAAAGAGTTTTATGAGGAGAGTGAGGCTCAGGTTAGGGTGTGTAGAAGAGAGGGAGACTACTTCCCGGTAAAAGTAGGTCTTAGACAGGGATGTGTAATGTCACCATGGTTGTTTAATATATTTATAGATGGGGTTGTAAAAGAAGTAAATGCTAGGGTGTTTGGGAGAGGGGTGGGATTAAATTATGGGGAATCAAATTCAAAATGGGAATTGACACAGTTACTTTTTGCTGATGATACTGTGCTTATGGGAGATTCTAAAGAAAAATTGCAAAGGTTAGTGGATGAGTTTGGGAATGTGTGTAAAGGTAGAAAGTTGAAAGTGAACATAGAAAAGAGTAAGGTGATGAGGGTATCAAATGATTTAGATAAAGAAAAATTGGATATCAAATTAGGGAGGAGGCGTATGGAAGAAGTGAATGTTTTCAGATACTTGGGAGTTGACGTGTCGGCGGATGGATTTATGAAGGATGAGGTTAATCATAGAATTGATGAGGGAAAAAAAGGTGAGTGGTGCATTGAGGTATATGTGGAGTCAAAAACGTTATCTATTGAGGCAAAGAAGGGAATGTATGAAAGTATAGTAGTACCAACACTCTTATATGGGTGTGAAGCTTGGGTGGTAAATGCAGCAGCAAGGAGACGGTTGGAGGCAGTAGAGATGTCCTGTCTAAGGGCAATGTGTGGTGTAAATATTATGCAGAAAATTCGGAGTGTGGAAATTAGGAAAAGGTGTGGAGTTAATAAAAGTATTAGTCAGACGGCAGAAGAGGGGTTGTTGAGGTGGTTTGGTCATTTGGAGAGAATGGATCAAAGTAGAATGACATGGAAAGCATATAAATCTACAGGGGAAGGAAGGCGAGGTAGGGGTCGTCCTCGAAAGGGTTGGAGAGAAGGGGTAAAGGAGGTTTTGTGGGCGAGGGGTTTGGACTTCCAGCAAACGTGCGTGAGCGTGTTAGATAGTAGTGGAGACAAATGGTACTTGGGACCTGACGATCTGTTGGAGTGTGAGCAGGGTAATATTTAGTGAAGAGATTCAGGGAAACCAGTTATTTTCATATAGTCGGACTTGAGTCCTGGAAATGGGAAGTACAATGCCTGCAGTTTAAATGAGGGGTTTGGGATATTGGCAGTTTGGAGGGATATGTTGTGTATCTTTATACGTATATGCTTCTAAACTGTTTTATTCTGAGCACCTCTGCAAAAACAGTGATAATGTGTGAGTGTGGTGAAGTGTTGAGTGATGATGAAAGCATTTTCTTTTTGGGGATTTTCTTTCTTTTTTGGGTCACCCTGCCTTGGTGGGAGACGGCCGACTTGTTAAAAAAAAAAAAAAACTATTAAATAAGCCACCATGGGCCCAAAGAAAGCTTCTAGTGCCAACCCTGTGGTAAAAAGGGTGAGAAATACTATCGAAATACTATCGTACCACGGTCAGCTGTTGCTGCACCACAGTCAGCTGCTGCTGTACCATGGTCAGCTGCTGTTGTTGCTGCACCACCATCAGCTGCTGCTGTATCACTGTCAGCTGCTGCTGTATCACCGTCAGCTGCTGCTGTTGCTGCACCACTGTCGAAATACTATCGTACCATGGTCAGCTGTTGCTGTACCATGGTCAGCTGCTGCTGTTGCTGCACCACCATGAGCTGCTGCTGCACCATTAGCTGCTGCTGTACCACGGTTAGTTGCTGCTGTTGTTGCACTACTGTCAGCTGCTGCTGTACCACCATCAGCTGCTGCTGTACCACCATCAGCTGCTGCTGTTGCTGCACCACTGTCAGCTGCTGCTGTACCACCGTCAACTGCTGCTGTACCATGGTCAGCTGTTGCTGTTGCTGCACCACCATCAGCTGCTGCTGCACCACCGTCAGCTGCTGCTGTACCAGTCAGCTGCTGCTGCACCACCGTCAGCTGTACTACTCAAAGATGTGGAGAGAGTGTTGTTGGTGTGGCTTAACGAGAAACAATTACCGAGTATTACAAAAAAGTAATTTTTTAGATGGTAGTTTACTCATTTTGTAATAAAGAGTTCGGGATAGATATATACACATAAAATATTTATCATTTTAATTGCATATAAAAATAACAATCTTTGGTCTAGGGGTATTATAAAATAATCTTTAATATACTAATATCTGATTAAAACCTATTATCTTTGATACATGTATATACAAGCTACAATAATGAATTAAAATTAACATCCTAAAATAATAAATAAATAATTCACACAAGGTACAACTTTCCTGACACTACTGTGTCATGGTACATATATACACATGTTAAAATAATAAATTATAAGTAACATCTTTGTACATCTATATATGAATCATACAATAATAAATTTTAACCAACTCATCATGACCCTATAGTGCATCAGGTGTCAATGTTGCTGCATTCTCTGTGTCTCACGACACTACCTATCCTACTATCATGACACCTACAACTCCGCATCACAAGACACCCTTGTCTCTGTGTAATGACGCTCCTTCTCTACCGTGTCACCTGACACCCTTTTCTCTGTGTCACACGACACTCCTGCTCTACCGTATCACACGATACCCTGATCTCTGCGTCATACACGCCTTCTCTACCATGTCACACAACACCCTTATCCCTTTGTCATAACACTCAGTCTCTGTATTTCCGTTTCTTCGCAGCATCTGACACTTCAACACAAGCTGGGTTACACGACAGTTCACCCTACCACACAGGGTACAATGTTCCTGACACTACCCTGTCACACTTGGTCATACTACACTATTGGAGTTTACGTATTATAACACCTGTGTCACACGACACCCTCTATGTCATGACTTGTGATGCTCCTTCTCTACCGTGTCACCTGACACCCTTGTCTCTGCATCACAC